CACCTGGAAAGAGGGCGAAGCACCCAAATCAGGAGATCGAGATCATCTATGCCAACATCACCCAGTGGACGAGGGAGTCCAAAGAATGGCTGATCCAGCAGCCGCATTCCATAGTCATGTTTGTTGAAACTCACCTCAACCGCCAGAAGATGGACGGAACGCGCAATGAGCTGTGTCGCCACAGGTGGCAACCTGTTTTCTTGCCTGCTTTCGACACGGGCAGAGGAGGCAACAGTGGAGGACAGTTGTTTTGCATGCGAGAAGGGCAGAGTGGTTACAGACTCGACTCCTTTGATCTGGAAGGCAATGGGTTTCAGGCCAATGTCCTACAGAGGCAGCGATGGGAACTACTGATCTCCCTGTACCTCAAGTGTGGAGAGGACCTCAACTCGCATGCAAACTCCACCATCCTAGGTGAAATGGCGGCCTTTGTCAGACAACTGGCTATCCCCTGGATTGTGGTTGGGGATTTCCAAGTGCCACCGGAACAATGGGATGGGCGCAACCTGTTGAATGTCCTCAAAGCTGACATCATTAGCAGTGGTCAACCAACAATGGTCAATGGCGCTGAACTGGATTACCTGGTGGCACGCCGCACGGTGGCTCCATTCATCGACATCAAGGTGACGTGGGATGTCCCATGGAAGCCCCATGCGGGATTGATAATCAATGTGGACCACGAGGCTCCGAGACTGGTGCTGCCACAGCTGACCCAATACCCTGCGGTCCCCAAGCTGGATGATCAGGTCAGCTCTTGGGAAGAGTTCCAGCCGGCACCGAAACCATATTGGCTTGGACGGCCCATTGGGCCAAAAGAGATCACGTATGCTGAATGGTGCCATCAAGCTGAGCAGTTCAACCTTCAAAGACTTCATGAGCCAAAACAAGGAAGAGGTTGGTACCTGGCATTGGAGCACAAACCCCTGCCTATCTCAAAGCCGCTCACTCCATGGAAGAAAGGGGATCTGGCGTACTGGGGCCAATTTTGCTCTTTGTTGCAGCACATGGCCAGCAAGCCCTTCATGTCTGCAGGCGCCATGGATCACTTGCGGGCCAAGACAGCTGATCTTCATATGAGATGGCAAAATGTGCATGGGTTGGAAGATTTCACAGCTGGAGTTGAGATGCTCATTGCTGGCGAGTCCACCCCGATCACATTGCTCATACAGGGTGCTGAGTGCAACAAAGAGTTTGCAAAGAAACTGGCAATGGAGCAACAAGCTGGAGAATATCAGCAATGGCTGTCACAAGCCAAGCTCAAAGGCCATAGTGGCATATACAAGTGCCTGAAGGCGCCAGCAGCAATGGTACAGCAAATGGCAAATCATTGAGGCCCCCAAGCCGAATGGGGAAAGAGGGAGGCTTCGATATGAGGGCATTGTTCAGGCCAGAGGATGGGAAGACTTGGACTCGCATGCAGTGATGAAGAAGTTGCAAAAGCTGCCTCAGAAGGCTTGTGGGCCTGATGGCGTCAGCTACGCCATGCTCAAGAATCTGCCTATCGAAGGCGTCATGGAAATGTGCCACATGATGAGGAAGTGGGAACTTTCTGGAAGGCTGCCAGATCAGGTATGCGCAACACTGGTGCTACTGCTTCCAAAAAAGGCAGACATCGAGCGGCCAATTTCGCTGACCAGCGTCATGTACTGCACTTGGTGTCGGCTCAGATGGGACAAGATCAGAGATTGGCAGTCCACCGTTGGCCAACGGCTGCCCTGGGAGCGAAGCCTTCCTGGTCATCAAGTCCTCCAGGTTGCTCTCATGCGTCTGCTGAAATGTGAAGTTGGCCGAGCCACTGGACGCCAAGTTATCTCCCTGCTTCTGGACCTGCAAAACCTTTATGATGCAGTGCAGTTGGAGCAACTTTTGGAGTTATGGGAGCCACTTCAGTTTCCGCCAGCGGTGATGAACATGATCTACGAGGTCTATACCGGGCCAAGACTGCTCCAAGCTGAAGGTGTGACATCTTCTGCAGTCCACTGTGAGAAGGGCATGTTGGCGGGATGCCCTGCGGCTCCTTTAGTCGCCAAGTTGATCCTAGCTCCTGTGCTACAGACCTTTCAAGAGAAGTTTCCCAAGGTCTCTGTTGACGTGTGGGTCGACGACATCTCCATGGACTTCATTGGAGAAGATGCACACAGTGTCTGCCAACAAGCACTGGCAGGGTATGAGGAGATCAAGTATGGGCTGGAAAAGGTGGGCCTACAGCTGTCACCTGGCAAAACGGGGTTCCTGACGTCCACATCTGAAGCCAAGAGGTCCATCAATCTTCACCGCACTGAGCAGCAGCCCAAGGCCCATGACCTCCTGAAGGATCTTGGTCTGGATTCGAGTGGAGGACGCAGGAGGAGGATTGGCAGCCAACAGAAAAGACTTTTGAAAGGAAGTAGCCGACAGTCCAAACTACTTCACCTGAAATTGAGGTCCAGGCCAGTCCGCATCAGAGTGTGGAAAACATCGATACACTCAGCAGTTGGCTTTGGAGTTGAAGCTCAAGGCATGGCGCCTCAGAGGATGCGCACCCTGCGTCAGCAGCTGGCACGCCATAAGAAAGGAAGCCCTGATGTGGTGTTTGATCAACACCCCCACCTACAGGATCCTCAAGACCTGGCTGTGGAACGACAGCTCAAGGCCATGCACCAGTTGATTCGAGCCTGGCCTGCAGCCCAGCGAGGTGAGCTCATGTCTGCATGGAGGATTTCGTGGCGGAGGCTTCAAGCTGCTGCCCATCCATGGATGATTGTGGCAGGTCCCATGGCTGCATTGCAAGTGTACCTCCTGGAGATGGGCTGGGATGCATCAGTGCTTGATGACTGGATCCGACCTAGCAAGGGCCTCCTCCCTGCAAATCAGCTCAGCTTGGACTTTCCTTGGCTGTACCTTCAGCGCAAGTTGCACCAGGAGCAGAAGCACCAGAGGGCCAGACGAATTCAGGAGTTGGAGCATTGCTTTCCCCTTATGCGGCAGCCTGATTGGACTGTTTACCATCGAGTCATCAAGAAGCTCAAGGGACAGGCTAGAGCTGCCCTAGATGCATGGACGCAAGGATCTTTGCGCACACATGATGCTGGCGTCAGAGTTTTGTGTCCATTGTGCCAGGTGCCGGTCACCATGAAACACCTGGTGTGGCAATGCAAGTACCATGAGCAGGCTTTGCCGAATGACTGGCAGGCCAGCATCAATGCCAATGAAGATCAGACGCTGTGGGCTCGTGGGCTTATTGAAATGCCTCGTTCCTCGGCCGTTGAAGGAGTGGAATCATGTGAAGTTGCTGGCATCATGGCCCAAGGGTGGCCCATCAGGCTTACGCCTTCCCACCGGATTGCCATTGGGGTGCAAGCCAACTGCCATGACTGTCGCGTCAAGAAGTATGTAGCGGCGATCACAGTTGGCACATTGTTGGATCCTCTTGCAAGCTGTCCTGGGTCGTCATCAGCTGAACATTCCCCATCGTGCTGGCTGGACAGCCCTACAGAAAGGAGGAGAGAGTAAGGCTGCTCCTGACCTCTGGTACAATTTGCCAGCTGAAGAATGGAAACGGCTGCAACTGTTGAATGTGCCTCCTAAGCTGTTGAAAGAGGAGGGTAGCACCTCCAGAGGGTGGATTCAGTTTGGTGAGGCCAAGCTTGTGGCCAAACAGCGGGCCATGCGGGATGCGCCCACGGCCCTTGTTGATGAGTTGAAAGCAGCAGATCAGAAACATCAAGCCATCTATGAGACTGCTGCGGGCAGAATCAGTGCAATCCTGGCTGATCGGGACCACTACATGCATGGGGAGCTTGAGAAAGTTGAACATGAAGTTCGGGTTCCACAGCCCAAGCCGAAAGGGGGTAGAGTTGAGCTGTTCAACCAACTGGTGCAGCAAACCTCTCTTGCAGGTTAACACAAGTGGCAGCATCTTCGTCAAGGGGTTGTTTGTGAAAGTTGTGGCAAGCGGATCAAGGCCTGCAGCACTTTCGAAGAGATCGACAAGAAGCAAGCCACGATTTGCCCTGGTGCTGTAACCAAGACACTCAAGCAAGTCATGAGTGAGATGATTCATGACACTGAAGGGCTGCTTGAAGAACAACGTGGGCACAAGTGGGAGATGACAGCCACAACCTTTGGTTGTGTCCGCTGTTGGAATAAGATTCCCCTTCGTTCCAGCAAGGCGGTCCTGGATCAACTGGCGGCCACTGAATGCAAGGTTGGCAAGGTGGATGAGCAGGGCTTGCAGCTCAGGACTCGTGTGCACACCTCTCATGAGGTTTGGAGAAGGGGCAGCTGGCTGGTCTGCAGCACGTGCAACAGAACCAGCAAAGAGCATGATGGGAGGGTCCAACAATGGCTGTCCAAACCCTGCACCGCTAGCAAGGGTCAGATGAAGCTTAGATTTGGGCCGAGCTCTAGCAGCTGATGAGATTTGGCTTGCAAGCCATGATAGCAAGATGTTTGGATGTGCAGCCTGATGGCTGGAGCTTGCTGCGGTGGCCTTGCTTGGAGGACATGGTTGGCCATAGAATACCTCCGGCCTTGTGGCTGTTGAGATGACTGGGTAAAAGGAGAAGGAGCCTTTCCCAGTGCCGCTTTTGGCCACAGGGCCGCGGCTTGAAGCAGCTTGTGGAAAAGAACCGAGAAAAAAAGAAAAACACAGACGGGAGAGGGCGACAGAAACAAAAGGCGAGAGAGAAAGAGGGAAAGAGAGGGAGAAAGACGTGGCGGGAAAGAGACCCTAAGCAAGCCAACGAGATCTTTTGCCCCTATCTCCTCTACCGTCCTACTTTTGCCCTGTGTTGGGCCGGCGCCCGGCTGTCAGGCGTAAGCCTTAAAATATGTATTATATATATATATATCTTCAATTGTCAAATGATCAAACAAACTCAAAGCAAAAGTCAAAAAAAATGCAGGGGGAGCTTTTACATGCCGTATGTACTATGCATTTATCAAGTATATGGGGGATTCCAACGAATTTTAAAGAAAAGAAACAACTCAACCCTTCGAAGAACTCCGACGACTCCGTCCTACGTAGTAAGCGTGGCTTTTGATGTCGTGCAAGTTGCCCGGTCGAGGTAGCTCACAGCCAAGTTGCCAGGTGTCCACCTGCGCGCAACTCAAGTCATGACTGTAAGACCCAACAGGTAAACATGTTTGCGACAGTGTTAGAATATTGTTCTTTTTTAGCCCGGGGGAGTATGCCGTAGACGTAGTAGCTAGGTAGCTAGCTAGTAGCTGGGTAGCTAGTAGCTTAAGCAAGTAGTAGCTTCGGACGCAGGATACCTCACGCTTCTTCAAGGAAGCGCTCGCACTAATGATTTGGTTCCTAGATCTTTAGGGAAATTTAACTTTAGTTTACCAGAAGTGTCGTCAAATGGCTCCCTGAAAAGACAGCAGCCTTGCCACCACAATCATGCGTGTCGTTCTCATCTTTCAGGTTGTAAAATGTCCTCATCTTCCACTCCAAGTTTGTTGTAGCCTCGAGTCAAGCTGGACTCAAAGTAAAACGACGCTCCACAATTGCGGTCAAGGAAGCACCTTGCATAAATAAGGTTGTTTAGGAGATTGCAACACAGAGGACATTGCCTTGATTACCTCACTTGGATGGTGGGTCAAGAGAATGTGTCAAACCCAGTGGCCAGAGATCAACAAGAGGGCTCACAACCATTTAACACATGATTGAGCAAGGATGCTGCACTAAAGGCACCTTGATTAGACACGCGCAAAGCCGAATCAGCCCCAGACACAGTGGCTTCCAGCGGCACATGGCCATGCTCAAGCTGGTTAGATTGACACAGACAAGCTCCAAGAGGCACCCGACCGCTGCCAAGCTGGCAATAAACCCAAGAACGTCCCCGAACAGTAGACTGATCGGGAAAAACGAATATGCACACAGCACATATCACCATGGGCTGATCTTTTATCATTCAGGCCATAAACTATCTAGATCACTGTGTGCAACGCTGTCACTAGCACTCTCCCAAGCTCGAGACTCCAAAGACTCCAAAACCAAGCAACGGTGTAGAGCTTCGTGAAGTCTGCCAAAGTTTCCCGAGAATTCCTAGCAACTAAATTCAGCGACAAAGTCAGGCTATGGTCGTCACACGCTGTCATACACCCTCGTTCCTGATTCTAAGAATCCAGGCTTTCCTGGATCTGAGGAAGCTGTTTACCTGTCCCAGCAATGTTGCAGCTGTGTTCTTGCCAAGCCTGGGCCTCTGACTCTGCTAAAATCCCACCAAATAATTCCAAACTTGTCCCTGAAAACTGACCATTGTTCGCTGCAACAACCCACCATGTCCAAAAACAAAAGAAGGCACATATAAAGTGAAGTGTGGAGCACTTGCTTCAATGGAATGCTAACACATTGGAGCTAAATTGGCTACTCATGGCAGCGCAGGAGCTACGAGTCACCAGCGAATGATGAAGGGTTGCTTCTCAGACTCAAAAAAAAACAGTCTGCAAGTCTGTTTCAAGCTGTCCTGATTTGTCGCAAACTGATCAGCTCTGCAGCCATCTCTTCTGGTGTTTGGCACTGCCCATCTAGCCTTTTGGACGCGTTTAGAACCAGCAAGGTAGCCAAGGTCTCTTTATGTTTCTTTGCATTGAAAAAAGTAAGCACAAAGCAGGTTACAAATGGATACAGGATACTTGTCAAAGCTTGTACAACACATCATGACACCTAATATGACCCACTTATTGTCTCATGTGTGCCTCTCGGAGCTGGCTAAACCGAGCGCTACAAGCAGTGCGGACACAGGCATAATGTTTGGAGTGCTTGCCGCACCCTTCCGCCATGGATCCGATGGCCCGGTACATCAGCTTAGACTTAGACTTAGATTCTCCCAGTACAACGTTCATGTTGTAACCTTGGAGGAATGGGGAGGTTCATCGTCACTGCCACATGCATCGGAGGTATATAGAGGATGTTCGCACAGATTTGAACAATCAAGTGCTTGTCTGCATTGCTGTCCCCTATGGCTTGATACTGTAGACTGCAGCCTGCTGGCACTGGTAAGGTAATATAAAAGTCAGTCCTTCATGCACGGTGCACATGTGTCGCACCATCAAGTTGGTAGGCTTCGCGGCTGCATGGATTGCCGCATGAACATATTTGGAAGCTAAAGCAGCCCTAATATACTTGTATATATTTGGTTCAAAGTTCGCTTGCCAACATAACAAAAAATAATAGCAACAAAACTCGCTCAAAAAATCAATGAAATATGTAGTACACAACTATATACTACCATTTTCGGACAGGTTCCAAACGTCGGCCACTCCAAGTTTCAGTTGGGGGATGTGCAGACACTCGATAGTGTGAATTTTGTTGACTTTCACTTGCCGGAATGTTTCTGCAACTCCAGTGCCAGAACAATATCCTTAGTGAATATCTTTTGAGACAGAGGCCTGGCCTGTTAAATCGAAGCTTGTGGCCTCTTCTGCCTCACACACAGATTTTTTCTGACGAAGCTGAGACCTGTGCGTAGTTTCTGACTTCCCACGCGGGCAAGAATCCATCCGGCCCACCTTCCGCCTCCCATCTGCCCTCTTACTTACATTCCCTCACTTGCACCCTCAACTGCAGTGGACCTGTTTGACTGAGCGTCATGGTCCCTAGCTCAGAAAAACACAATTTAAAAAAGGCATCGATAACGAGAACAACTTCTCCAAGGATCAGGTTGAGAATGCATCCTGGACGGCCGACCTTCCAAATCTCCACACATTTGGCAGTTCCAGCACTGTTGCTGTGTCCATTCTCTCTTCTTGAGTTTGACGTCAGGCACATTTTTGCTTTGCAGTGCGTCGGTGCTTTCCCCGTTCTTTGTCCATCAAGATCCCATCAAAGAACGTCACAAAGAAAAGAGGGAAGAGACAAAGAAGAAAACTCCGGTGGAACAAAAAAACACCACAAACAAGACTCTGATGACGTTCAGGCTCCTGCTGCATGACTTTGTGGTTCACTGTCCAACGCAAAGAAGCTGGACACCTCCCAGTTGCAGGTTCTCTTCCCAAATCCCAAACCGAAACGATTTTTCTATCAAGAGCAGGAAATAAATTCCAAATTCGTCGTTTTCGCCCAAAAAATGGTTGGTTTTTGTTGGTGAGAAGGCACTTGGCTAACGTCGCTCAGAAGAATGAAGAAGAACAACTTGGTGAAACGGCATCTCTAGCTTGCAGTGTTCGAACAAGCAAACGCAATCCATGAAGTTTTTCCTGAGCCAAAGGGTCAGATGCTGCTCAAGACAGCTCTGCCTGGTGTGAGATGGGTGGGCAAGATGAGTGCAAGATGGGCAGTGCAAGATGAGTGATGTGTGGAAGATGAGTGGCAAGATGGGTGGTGTGATGTGAGTGGTGTTGGATGAGTGGTTGAAGATGAGTGGTGTAAGATGAGTGGTGGAGCAGGCAGCGGCAGAGTGGCGGACGCGGTATGGAGCTGCGGGTGCAGATGGTCATGTGCGGTGAAACATGTGTTTGGTGGTTTGTTTTGTGGAAATGCTTCAGGCGAAGTCAGTGTCATTGGCTGTGCAACCGGCTGGATCGGGTTTAACGTCGATTGCGGTGCGTTTGACAAAACACACACGCGTGAGAAGATTGAAAGGTTTTGGCAGCACTTGACAAAGGTAATGCAAAAAACTTACCAAGGAGTCTGTGTGCGGTGCCTTTGTGTCTCTTAATCTTTTTGGCGAACGTTTCACAATGAGGCACAGTTTGTTGAATCTGGATAGTTTCGTGGAGGCGCCCCCTTGCATGGCTTCCAACATGAAACAAGCTGCGGTGCAAGTTCCACTGCTGTCTTAGTGGTGGCGCCTCTAAGCTGTTGCGTTGGCCTCCCACCAGATGGAGTGGTCCAACCTGATGTATCACACACCACTCATCACACACCTCATCACACACCAGTCATCACACACCACTCATCACACACCACTCAAAACACACCACTCATCACACACCACTCATCACACACCACCCATCACACACCACTCATCTCACACGCAGCACTCATCACACACCACTCATCACAGACCACTCATCACACACCACTCATCACACACCACTCATCACACACCACTCTTTTTTGCACGGGTGGAGTCGCCATGTGCGCAGAGATTGCACAGGTCATCTGGTGCTGGTTAAGAGAGAGTTACGAGCCAGGTTGCGAAAACAAAGAAAACCACCAACAAAACCAAACCCAACAACAGACAAAAAACCAACCCAACCCAAACAGACCACGAAGCAAACTGGCATGTAACTCGAAAAGGTCACGTAGACCAGAAAAGAGTGAAAGGTGAAACATGGGGCTGCGAATTAAGCAATGGCCTCTCAGTACTGGGCAGTGCAAACTTTGTCTATCTTCATTCAAAGTCTTTCCTTCAATGCTGCACAGCGTCCTGGGATCAGAACGCTGTGCAGGCAATGAGCATCGAAAGCAACGCTTACGACGTTGTGCAGTCAAACGAGCAGGCGTTGTTCTCACGATGCCGGGTCAACCTTTTCCTCAGCAGCATTGGACAGGCAAGTGGGAAAAAACACTGTGAGTTGCTCCCGATAGCTCCAAGCCTTCGGATAACAGGATTCAGCAGCGCAGCCTGTGATTGATATAGTGCTGGAGCAAGTGGAAGTCAGTCTTCGTGCACTTCCTCCTCATAGAGAGAGTGTTCCAACTTTTTCGAGAGACCGTGACAGCCAAACCTTCAAGAAGCCAAGCCGCAATGACTTCACACTTGTTGCCTGCACTCCGGACCTCATACGCGCGTGCAGCACGGTTGAGCAGTCCTTGCGCCGAAACGAGAAACATCCGTACCCAGGAACCAAGCACGTTTCTTCGTCAGGCTCAATTTCTTCTACCTCATCACCTCCAGTCGGATCTATTTCTGATTGAGCCACCTTTTCCACCAGGACAGGCTGGGCTCTTTTTTTTGCAGGGGTGGAGATGCCATGTGCGCAGAGGTTGCACAGGTCATCTTGCGCTGAAGAGAGAGTACTCGCCAGGTTGCAAGGCTGGCAGGACAGGCTGGGCCATAGTTGTGGACGCTTTGGTCGTTTGGATCGTTTCAGAAGGGGAGTGCGCATTGTCCACTCCACACAGGCACATCAAGGCGAAAACAGCATTTGTATGTTGATGGAAAAGAAATAGACTGGGGCATCAAGCATGCCCTGTCTGCATGCTTTCGCCAGCCTAGTCGTGTTTGGCAGAGGTGGGCGGTTTCCATAGCATGCTGCTTTTCAAAGGCTTGTACAATGACAAGGTTTTTTTGCACGGGTGGAGAGGCCATGTGTGCAGAGGTTGCACAGGTCATCTTACGCTAGTGAAGTGAGAGTTACAAGCCAGGTTGAGGCACAGAAAAAACCAGACAAACAAGCCAACCAAACCAAACAAAACCAACAAACCACACCAACCCAAAAAAGGCCCCAACAGAAAACCGCAACCTGGTATGTAGCTCAAGCAGCCGTGTCGGCCAAATAAAGAGAAGGTGAAACAGGGGCAATGAATTCAGCGCCGGCTCTCAGTACATCTTGACCACTAGGTAGTGTTGGGTTACATTCTGTGGGCTGGTCTCAATCCTTTCGAGGTTCATCCTTGCCGACAGCGAAACGTCCTGAGTCAGGACGCCGTGGACGAGATTGCATTTGGAGAGCACTGTAAGCCGACTAGACAACCATGCATTCTCGGGTACCTAGCGACATGCAAGACATGTAGGGATGTTCGCTCGTTTGCATGGACACGGCCCTAAGGAAAACCACTGCAAGAGGCTTCCGAAGCTTCAAACTGCCGGGAGCACACCAACAGTGCAGCCGAATCAATGTAGTTGCGAAGCATGGCGTTCCCTACGAGAGTTGTCAACTCCTCCCCAGAGGGGAGGAGGACAAGGACGCCGCACCATGGACTTGCAGCGGTGACTCCTTAACAGCTTTGCAACGGGAGGTCGCAGAAAGACAAGTGTACCATGAGGCTCGACAAGGACGAGCCTAGATGATCATAGGGAGCCGCTTGGTTTCCGTTGACTTGCGCTTGGTGCTAAGAGTCAACTGTCTGTTGAGTGCCTGTACCGTGCAGTGCCCCTCTACTGTACTCATCCAGGACTCCAGGACCAACACTAAGGTGCCAGCCTGGGAGCTGTCTATCTAGGTTGTTGCGCTGTACAAGGGTGCCAGCAACAGCGAAAGATGTTATCCGCAGGACCGACACAGAGGCGCCAGCCTGGGACGGGCAAGCGAGTCATTAGTGCAGGTTCCTCCGTAGCTCATCATCAAATTCTTCAGTTATACGTTGGACTTTCATTATAATTCAACATATAGAAAAGTCTATCTATATTTCAAGCACTCTTCATACTTTATCTTTTTCAGTTGCTGGAAACTAAATTCAAGTTCCTCAGGTTTCCCCTGAAGGAATTTCTACTCCCTTCGCAGATTTCATGAGAAGGAGACATGTACAGAGTGTGCTACTGACTGATCCTCAATGAGAGGGAAATGCTGGGTGAAACCGAACGCTCTGCAAACGAATGCTTTGCTGACATGGAGGTCAGCTGGCTTGGACAGACGGTGTGAGGACAAGATAGGCTATCGAGCAAGAGTGCTTGCGACCCAATAGAACCAACAGCTTACAAGGTGAGGGAGGGAGGGTATTCAAAAATCTACCATTATAATGAAAGTCCAAACTTGAGCCAAAATAACGCGTGTAATGAAGTACCCCCGTAGAACATTAGTGAACAAGTACACTTAACGTTATACGTTGGACTTTCATTATAATTCAACATATAGAAAAGTCTATCTATATTTCAAGCACTCTTCATACTTTATCTTTTTCAGTTGCTGGAAATTAAATT